GACAAGTCTGGTACCAATTAACCGACCCCGGAGGGATGGAAGGCTTGGTTGGCCCGGGCGACTCACGACCCAGGATTTGATCCCCGGACCGCTCGCGTGGTAAGCGTGCCACTTGCCACTACACCACTTCCGCCCGGAAAAGTAACATGTACAATTTCAAGTCTACTGAAATGAACTCGACTCGAGTCTCCAAGAACTCGATTTCTTTCAGAAACACCCGGAAAAGTATGTAGGCCCATGATTTCTGAGACACTTTACATGTACTGCTGTAGCAATATTTCGAGTAGTATTGAAGCCACCCTACATGCCTTGCAACTCAGCATACAAGCTCTCCTATCTGAGAAGCTAGCCATTTCATTTGCTTTTGCTTTCTTTGGCTAGGATTCCAATTTCTTCAGAGCTTTTTTTCTGAGCCTCTTTCTTCATGATAACTGATTAGAACCTTCCATAGGCAAGGATAGATATACCTAACCAGAAAATAGTTGAGGGCACACATTCTCTACCCATGGAGTAGCGGTGGTTCACACTGCTCAGAAAGGAAGGCCTTTAATTTTCATGGATTTTGAATTGAGACCAGATACCTCGGTAGAGCTTCAAATGCTTATTGCGAATATAGAAGCCAATACTGCAAAAATAAACCTGTCCAGGAAGTTGTGAGCAGTCGAAGTTGGCTGGAAATAAAATGTTACATATGAAACTATGTAACTTCCAGAGTCGTCGTGGAGCAGTGGTACTGCTCTCGCTCTCCAACCGTAGGTCGTGAGTCTATGACCCTTGTATTGCAAATTTCGAGAGCCCTTTGCCGAATTTTGCAGTTTTAGTTTCCATATTTGCAATCAGTGTTCAAAGCTTCTTTCGACACATCTGGGTCATACCTCAAAGTTCCACATGAAGTTGAATGCCTTCTCTGGCCAGGGCCCGCTTTTTTTATCTCGAATGAAGATGAGTTCACACTCCAACCACCCTGTGGCTGGCAACCTTGATCTCTACCCGCTATTAGAAAAAAATTTGAACATACTAGCTGTTACTTGCTAGAGCGATGACGTGACAAGGTGAAGAGCACTGAGATATCCCGATGGAGTCGTAAGGATCAGAAAATATGGAGTTTACATCTCTCATGGCATCTAAGCCCTGGTTCAGCTCCGACAACGACCTGACGTCGTCATATATGTACCTGTTTGATTTCTCATAGCGCCTTCAACTGACCATCCAGGTTAGTCGGCGATAAGATGGGTGCGGTGTCCAATAAATCAACGTACGGAAGCGGTAGCTAGCTAGAAGATTTGAGATTTTGACAACAAAAGCTCGACTTCTTCTGAATTCAATCCTTCTGAGTTGTTGGGAGAATACAAGAGGGGCTCTGCGCTGGGAGCAACGCCAGACACGGTAAACCGCAGCCGTCACCATGAGTGAAGGACAGCGTCAACAGCCCGATGGTGACACCTCTAACTGAAGGGTGCGCGGAACTTTTGGCGCGACTAATTGCGCGCCAACCTGCGCAGCGAATTTGGACGGTTTACTGGACTTCTCGGGCATTCCTCGATGATCCTACCGCGAATGCCAGAGCACAGACGACTTAGGTAACGCCGCCTGGCTCCGCTCCAAATCTGGAGGAGGAAGTGGGAGCCCGAAGACTAAGCTTTGGAGGGGGGGACTCTGGGGTGGGTGGGCCAATTGCAGTGTGGCAAAAGTTTGGAATTTGTGAAATCACAGTAGTCATAAGCCGCTGTTATGAGAGCGCAGGTGGGAGCATTAAATCAATGCGATTGAAGGATCGAGTTCAAGCAATCGTACACGGCTAGATATGATAGAATGTCGCAGTCGCACGCGTAGCGTAGTTTGGGCGCGCGGACTCCAGATGAGGCGTCGCACCCACTAACTGAAAGCAAAATAAAACAAAGTCTCCCTCTTGTGAGAATGTTCGACACCACCTTGCGAAGGGAATTCTTGAAAATTCGGAGATTTTCGTGCTGACAGTCCTCTCAGCTCCACAGTGTAGCACTACGCTCGTGTTGAATTCGCGGCGCATCCCAAAACAGGACAGATCATTGCCTAATATTTCATCTTTCATCCTTTGGACACCCTTTTTCATGAAAGACTTGTAAAACAGACCGTGACGTGATAAAAGAGGTGAATACTGCACAAAGGGGAAGTCTCATTCAAATTCCATCACGCTTTATAAACCTGTTCATGGCTTTTTGTATTAAACAACTTTCCAAGCTATTTGAAGAGAATTTCCGGAATAGTATGCCGTTAGCTGAATAGCCTGACTGCTAGAAACTTGTTTGCAGCTCTTTTCCCCATGATGCCTTTACTTTTATTTCGGCGTTAAACCATCTTTCCTATTGTTATTCTGAGGTTCGCGCGAATTATTTGAATTGCCTCGCATCGCCAAAGAAACGATTGCAACACTATAAAGAGTAAGCGCAAATAACTGTTTGCGCAAGCTCGTGAAATTCCTCCGCGATGTACCATGGAAGCGAGGGAGCCTTCCCTACGTGTTGCATAGGGAGACAACACACCGTTGTACGAACCGCTAACAAAAACTTTTGCAACACCTGAACTTGTTCGGCTGCCAAAGTGACCACATGTTATCATTATAAAAGTTCGGATTCGCCCAAAGGGGACGCAGTCTCGCTGCTAACGGGAGCCCTCGAAGGTCATTAACACGTTGACGACAGGCTGACGCGCATGCGCGTCAGAAATTTGGCACCGCATCGGACATTCTGACGCGCATGCGCGTCAGAACTATGTCATTCATTTTTATTGTGCTTGCGCTCCTTCTTCTCGAGTTTTTTGCATTCATTCTATAGATAATACATTAGCATAACTATAAACCACATGGCAGCCAGAGTGGTCAAATATCCCTTGATTTAGCAAAGATTTTCTGAACGCACAAAACTTTCATTTCAATTCTTTCCTAGTATTCCTTTCACTGTCGTAAACATTCATATGAAAGATTGTAGAAGCAGTTAATACAAAACTCTGTGAGTTTCAAGATATTTGTATTTGATGGAAGAACTTAGGTATAAATGCTTTTAACTTCATTCGCAGCGAAAGTGATGTTTTTTGCTTCTTCGTGGTCATTATGCGTTCTTCTAAACAAAAATCTACTGCTATTTATATAGTTAACCTTTATGCTTTCATTCCTTGCCGAAATAATTCTATGAGATTCAAGTTGTTGTGCATTTTAAACAAAAAATAAGCGGAAGTAAGGTCGGACACGGCGACGGCTCCCGTTTAAAGCAGCCCTGTCCCAAACGCGTGCAAATGCTAGCACAGTGCCGCGATAAGCCGTCAAGGTGTCAAAGAATCTCTAGCAACCTACCAGCTTCGGTCCCTTAAATGCGAGCACCCAGGAGGACTTAAAGACGCCAGGTTCGCATGCTGCCTACGAAGGATCCATCCTCCAAGGGAATCCAACAGCCCCGCATTAAACTTTTTAAACCGATTATTCAAAATTTGCGAGTCGCTGAAACTGTGTTCTTATCGAGACTACAATTATGGTCCTTTCAAACAGGAAACTGACTGTTCCTTTGTCGGCTTTGATTCGTTGAGTCTATCTACTTTTCAACGACCCATATCCGAAGTCTTCAAAGAAAGCCCCGTCGCACATGAAGGCTCTGGGCTAAAACTCGGGCTCATTCTCAGCGGCTCTGTCGGAATACTAAGGCATAATGCTCTTTATGTCCAAGGGGTATGAAGCAACTATTGTGGACCACCGACCGGTGTCTTTCTGTAATTAACGCTTAACACTGATTCAACGTAGTAGGATAAGTTAAGGCAGGTCATTCAACAAGAATGGGACAGGAGTAAATTGTCCTGTACTGCGATTTACGCAAATTATATGGCTTGGTTACTGCTATGCTCTTTTCGCCACTCAAGTTCGTGCTTGTTCCCAATAAAATCAAGAGCATCAAACTCACCTGAAAGTTCTATTCACCTCTCATTTAACAGTAAGCGTGACTGTTTCAACTCGAGGGCACATGAGTGATGTTCTTTCATTTAAGGGTATGCTCTGGTTCTGCACAGTTTTACTCGGAACCGTAGCCGCACTTGACAATGGCTTAGCAAGGTTTGTTACGAACTTTTAAACGGCTTACACTAAACATTTATTTGATTAGCGTCGATCGTTCCACCTTAACATGCGCTTACTTTTTCCTCTTACTTTCTTCATCTTCTACTTTTTTTGTAAGGGTATGACACTTATGAAGTTGAGCTAGAGCCTTCTTACCGTTATCCTTGTTACCTCTTCTGGAAAAAAATGGTCCTCCAAAAAGGTTTTGGAATCTGATAAAGAACAAGAACGATGCAGGAAGCGCTCCTGTAGACAATCTTAACATTAAAAGGGATTAATGAGAAAGTCGCATGATCGAAGAGGGGAAAATTGCTCAAAGTGGACAAAGGCAGGCAGACAAGCCTTAGAGTGCCCAAATTTACACGCGATTCGCGAAACGAAGGCTATACCAGGGTATTTACGATGATAGCATGACCGTACCCGCGGCGCTATCTGACGAGGACAACGCCCGCCCGCGGTAGGAACCCCTGCCGTCTGACTCTTGCTGTTCAGTCAGCCGAGACAGAGACGTATGCGGTGCTGAATCGATGGTCCATGTCATGAGTGTCACATCAATGATTGAATTAATGTAGGTTCCGCATAATCGTAATCTCAAGCCTTTACTTAGGTTGACTAGTTGAGTTTACAGGAAGGAGAGCAGAATAATTTTGGCAAGGAGGGGGTCCCATTTTAAGGTTTCTGAGCGGCTATGAGAGAATGCATTCAAGAAAGGATTATTTTATATTAATTTTTCAATTTATTTCAATTTTTTTGATCGCGCCACCTCAATGCAAACCTCTAAATGAATTGTCCTCATTCAAATTCTTTTTAAAAACAATTTCTACCATTTTTGAACCCCTCCAATGATGGATGTGCATGGGACGCATTCTACGTGAAATGACTGTGGCAACATCCAAAATCCTGCATAAATGAGAATCTCTACATGGAAATGGCGAACGCCTTAGGTAAGCATTTCCTTCTACAAAAAACTACCACAGGACTGAAATTTTGAGCTGTCATTTCCCAGCTGCTGTTTTTCAAAGGCACAAATGTTTCAGTAGTTGTGGTTATCGAGATGCCGGCTACGTGAGCGTGCATGTAGACGACTGTTGGATGGGACGCCAACGGGATCGGGCCACAGGGAAGCTTACTGCTGATCCAATCCGATTTCCCAGCGGGATGCACAACTTAGCCAGATACGTCAGTAGATTACATATTCAAAAAAGAAGCAGTGAACCTGGTTACTGACATGCTTCTTCAGATGCACGTCAGAGGGCTAAAATTCGGTATCTACGAGGACTTCGGCACGAAGACATGCGCCGGGTTTCCTGGCAGCTTGGGTCATTTGCAGGTGTGCTCCCTTGAAAATGTTAGGGTGCTTAAGAAAAGAACGTATTTTTGCCTTGCAGCTTGATGCCAACACATTTGCTGAATGGGAAGTAGACTATTTGAAACTAGATGGCTGCAATGTGGATACCGGCACTGATGCCTCAAGGTGAGTATTCGATGAACAAGGAGGTGAGGGAAAGGTGGGAAAAAACGGGCTACTTTTCTTGGTCCACATTCAACATCATTGATGCAACATACAACATCAAATCGTAGCTGAATTCTCGCCGGATGTTTCCCCCACTTTACCAACACACCCATACTGAACTAAACTCACTCTTCATACGAATTCCTTACAGTAACATCCTTTTCTCCAAGAAGTCCGAGCTTCCATAATGCGCATCAAGGGCAAAAGACTTTTTTGCCCCTCCCCCACTTCCTCTCCTTTAGTTCAGTGACCAGACTGAGGAAAAGTGGGTCCTTCCCGGAAAAATCATGATTCTATCTGATCCATAAATCACTGGCTTCTTCTTCTTCTTCTTATTCTTTAGCGTCTGTCCCGCTTGTAGGCGGGGTCCGCTTTTTCTGATGTGTTGACGCCACTTCTCCCGATTGAATGCTTGATCGGGGTGGATGTTAACGCTCTTCAAGTCTTCGTGCAACGTGTCGAGCCATCGCTGCTTCGGACGTCCTCTAGGCCGCTTTCCGCGCACGTCAAGGTTGAGACCGATCTTACGGACACTGTCCTCATTCGCGCGAAGAACATGTCCATACCATCGGAGACGGGCTTCGCGCATTTTATCAACAATCGGAGCTACACCGAATCGCTCCCTGATGACATCATTACGGAATGCGATCTTAACTCCTACTAACACGAAGTGTGACTCCCGGGCTGTCCAGCGGAGCATCTTTGTCTCCATCACACCGAGACGGGCTTCAACTTCTTTGGTCGCAGGCCAGCACTCAGCACCGTAAATGGCGACCGGCCGGATGACGGTTCTATAGATCTTGGATTTGAGACGCTCAGGTATATTCTTATCGCAGAGAACGCCAGTCATCGAGCGCCATTTCAACCAGGCTGCATTCACGCGAGAATTCGTTTCCACGACCAGGCTGCCGTCAGACGCAATTGCTGATCCCAGATACTTGAATGTTGTTGTACGTGTGAGCTCAGTACCATTGATCTTAATAGAGCCTGGCTCACTCGGATCGGTGGTCAAGTACTCTGTCTTTTTGACATTCAACCTGAGTCCGAACATAGCTAGACGGTCGGACCAGGTTTGCACCTGTTGCTCAAGCGTGCTTTTATCTTCGCTAGCGAGCATCACGTCATCAGCATAAAGAAGCGTCCATGGTACCGGCTTCTGGAGATCTTTTGTAATGGCATCCATGACGACAACAAATAGCAGTGGGGATAACGCAGAGCCTTGGTGTACTCCGACAGAGATGGGAAAATCCGTCGATGTGCCCGCGGCAGTTTGCACTCGGCTCTTTGGACTCGAGTACAGGATGCGCACCCACTCAATAAGCTCTTCGGGAACGCCATGCTGTCGTAAAGCATACCATATAACGTCACGTGGAACGCGATCGAAAGCCTTCTCCAAGTCTAGAAAGGCAAGATGTATCGGCTTTTGTTTTTCGCGATGCTTTTCTAGCAGAAGGCGAGCGGCGTGTATGGCATCGATGGTGCTGCAACCAGCAACAAAACCACACTGGTTGGTGGTCAGCTCGACGACGTCACGGATACGACTGTCTACAATTCGCTCAAAGATTTTCATGCTATGCGAGAGCAGGCGAATTGGACGGTAGCTAGTGCAGTCCGCAGGACTGCCCTTTTTCTTCCAGATTGGAATCGTCGTGCTCTGTTGCCAGCTCTCAGGCACCTTCTTCTCTGCAACGACCTGGTTGAAGAACTCCGTCAACCACTGTGCAGGATTCCAGCACTTTGATTTCCACAAGTCCGCCGCTAAGTCGTCAGGACCAGTTGCTTTGCCTGATTTCATCTTCTTCATGGCCGTGATGGTCTCCTCCATGGTTATCTTCTGAACGGGGCCGTGTACTGGCGGAGCGCAAGGGGATGGCGGGATGAGCAAATTCGACTGTTGAGATGTTCTCGAAGTATTCACACCATCGCTTCAATGCTTTCTCGCGGTCCGTCAGAAGGTGACCATTCGCATCATTTATGCCGAAGAACTTTTCTATATCCTCGGTCTGGCGATAGCGGGTCTTTGCGAGTCGGTAAATGTACCGTTCACCATCGCGCGACTCGAGTTTCTCATTGAGATCGGCAAAATGAGCTGCTTTCGCAGAAGCAACGGCCTTCTTTGCCTCTTTCTTCGCTATCTGATAGCGCTGCCAGCAACCGGCTGTCTTCTCCGAAAGAAAAGCGTGGTAGCGCTTTTTCTTCTCTCTTACTTTCTCTCTAACTTGATCCGTCCACAGCCATGTTTGCTTATCAACCTTTCTCCGTCCAGGCTTCGTCATGCCGAGCTCGGATCGCGCAACCTGGGTGATCGCTTCGGCAGCACCTTTCCAAGTTTCGTCGACAGTCGTTACCGCTGGCAATCGAATGCGGGAAACGACGGCCGCTTCTTTCTCCTTCAGTCGCCACCACTTGATTCTCGCTGGCCCACATCTTTCGGCTAGTTTCGGTCTCGGTGGGGCGATTTTTAGCGTACAAATCAATGGTCGGTGTTGTGTGACGACCGTTTCATAAGGTACTACTTTTGCGTCTGTTACGAGCCCTTGATCACGGTGCCTAACAAGGACGAAATCGATTTGTGTTCTGGTTTTAACCGAATCGCTAGAATACTTACCGCTATAGAATGTGATAAGATGTGAGTCACGTTTTCGAAATTTCGTGTTTACTATGGCGAGATTATGCGAGTCTGCATATTCAAGAATTCGTTCGCCATCAGTATTACGTGACCCATAACCAAAACCACCATGACAGCTATAACCGTCTTTCGTAGCGCCCACGTGGCCATTGAGGTCACCGGCAACAATTATGGCTTCTTGTGACGGTACCTCAGCTGTCTTCTCATCAAGCAGGTTCCAGAACTTGTCCTTGTTTTGCTCGGAGCATCCAGTCTGCGGAGCGTACGCAGAGAAGAAATGGTATTTTTGATGTTCCATGACGACAACGATCTTCATTAAACGGTCGTCGAAGCGCTCCACACTTACTATCGAATCACGAAAGCGTTCAGAGACAATCATCCCGACGCCATTGGTGGTTCTGGGACCGCCACAGAGAACGGCTTTGAAGCCGCGGCCAATGTCCCTCGACTTGCAGCAGGACCACCTCGTTTCCTGCACGGCACAGAAATCAATTCTTCGGCGCTCTAGAGCTTCTGCTAACTCGTGCGAGCGGCCCGTTAACGTGCCAACATTTAACGTCGCAACGCGAGTCTTCCATACGTTGCGGGACTTTTGGACTAGCCTAGTTGCCCCCCGATGCCGTCCTTGCACCGGAGACCCTCGCATACTTTTCACACTCGCCGGGCTTTGCGAGTGCGCGTCGGCTCCCTT